CTGAGAGGTCACAGACAATGTGCCCCCACTGCTACCACCAGTTTAGCTGGTAATGGAGGGAGATCAGTCACATGGAGGTACTTTCACTTTAGTCTTTGGATTCCATCGTGCATCCATTCCTTAGGTCCATAAGCATCTATTGAGCACCATTATGTACTGAGCAGTGCACTAGGTGTTGGGGATACCTGGAAACATTCATGGGAGTCTAGATTAAGCTTCAAAGGGAATCTTGGGCTTGTCTATATAATTCTTTCATCTCATACAATTCTTTTATCTTACTTCCAATGAAATGTTGATTCAGCTGGCTAATTGCCACATGTCCTGCTGGCCTCAGCTTAAAAACACCTGTCTTCAGGAAGGTGCCCCTGACCAGTTTCCTCCCATCTGGGCTAGGGGCTCCCTCCTGTTATACATCCTGAGGGCATTCTGTTCTCCCCCCATCATGGACGCTTCTCCCTCTGTATGGGATTTTCTTATTTCTAACTAGACTGAGAATTCTCTGAAGGCAGAGACTGTGTTCATTTGTCACTATTATATCCTCAGGCTCAGCACCTAGTGGGCACCAGTATTTGTAGAATGAATGAAGTGATTGGTAGAAGGCACAGAATGGTTAATATCAGNGCACCAGTATTTGTAGAATGAATGAAGTGATTGGTAGAAGGCACAGAATGGTTAATATCAGAGTCAGGACTACAACTCAGGTCTCCCAGCACTTAGCCCTGTGTTCACTCTTACATTACCCGTGCTTCCTTTTGAGAGTCCTAATCCATCTGGATGGGCCCCTAGGAATGAACACACATCTCAGGGAGGAAAGGAAACAGCAGGTCAGGGGAACTGTCTCTGGGGCCTCATTCTATTTTCACAGATAACCCAGAGCAAAAGGGGGGGGCTGGTAGAGGGAAGAATGCTCAACTAGCTACCACCTCCTGTAGCCCTCCAGATCTTGGGGAGGGTTTCTTGCATAAGGTGGATCCTCTCCAACCACAAAGGAGACAGACAGCTCCATGGAGGGATGGGGACAGCCATCCATGACTCACACTAGGATGGATCAAAGGGTCAGTGGAAGTAGGAAAGTGAGCAGACACTAAATACAAAATCCAGCTACTGGGGATCTAGTCCTTCTTGATTCTCAACATGTCCTGAATATACAACTGAAGGCATCCTCCTCCTTGGGGGGCTGAGGGGGAAGGCTGTCTGCCCAGCAGAGCTGGAATCCAGTTAGGGCCCTAAATCTGCTTGCAGGAAGGATTTCTCTCAGGGGAGGGAAGGAAGACCTGGAGTCCCCCATTCTCCTCCGCACGGACCAGGGTCTGAATTACG